AATTAAACTGAGCTTTCCCTGTGGTAGGAAAATAACAGGGAACAATGAAATAAGGAATAGAAGGGGTACTCATACCAAAAAGAGGTTGATGCCCCAAGGAAAAGAACAAACGGAATAATTGGGTCACTTGGATCCATGCCAAGGTTCCTCTCCAAACCCTCCAGAGCAACATAACCCTGCCAATCACAATTTTATACAATTGTGAAACATGAAATATTTGTAAATAAAGAAGCAAATGTGAGAGCACTAGCCCATACCTGTCGCAATGGAGTGAGAAGCGAAACATTTAGCACATCCTGGATCTCTGGAGGAAGCATCTCCATTACAGACCCATAAGCATAGACAACAAATCGTGATACCGAATCCTCGACAATGAGAATTATATGTCTCAATGCATCAACAGCAAGAACACCAACTCTACCAGAGGCTTCTTTCAAGGCTGTCACCGCCGACTCCCCTGTTTTTGATGGCAATTTACTAATCACTAGATCAACTGCTTGTCTAAGAGCTGATGTAACAGATGAGCTAGTTCCATCAAGTGAATTGTTCAAATAACTTTGTCCATTCTTAAAAACATCCATAGCATATGATTTCACATCAGATAAGGAACTTGTATCCAAGTTCAATGAAGCCAATTCTCCTCTAGTTACGGACTTAGGTAGAGCAGAAGTATCAACAATTCTCAGATGGAATGAATTAGACACCCGGTCCATGACATTGCATTTCATCTGGTATGTCTTCCAACAGGAAGAGAAGGATCTCAACCCCTCATAGATAGGAGGAATCTGCAGGAACATAAGTTTAGATATCTGGAAAAAGGAAAAGAAATACTCCTACAACAAGAGTGGGAATGAATGAAGCTTTCTGTCCCCAGTGTTTGAAATTCCATACTATCAAAAGCATTATGTGAAGAACTAGCTTGCCTAGGATACTAATTGTACATTAAACCACAAATTTTACTAACAAAAGTAGAAGCACTAATTTGAAGTCCTAAATTCAATTATTAATTCATATCTGACAGTGCATTAAAATACTTGTTTGCGTTCCCCTTGCTATTATACACATGTTAAGTCATTTTTCATTAAAGATTATAATCTTATCAGTTGAATAGTAATAACACAAACGAAAAATATAGAAATTAAAAACACATTCGTTACCTGCGTATGGGAAGAAAAGGAAGCAGTAGCTGAACACACAGGTAGAGTTGCCATCATCTATCAAAACTGTCTATTCAGCAACCTCTCATCTTCAATAATGGGTGTTTTTTTACTTGGGAATTTGATTTTTAATATTTGCACAAAAATGAGTATTATTATCCCATAGGGAATGAATGAATGAATGAATTGAAAGAAGGAGATGCGATAGGGAGAATCGTGTGGTTTTTGTCTCAAGCCATTAGCTTCAACTTCTTGCCTGCCTCTCATTCTCCTTCTGCCTCTGGGCCCATACCTTTTTTTTTTTTTTTTTTTTTTTTTTTTTTTTTTTTTTTTTGATATTATAGGCTGATTACTCATATGACTTGTTTTTTTGAACCACTGTTTCGTTACGATTTTGTTGGATTTTCTTTCCATTTTTTAAATTTAACTATTATTAGAATGAACAGTAAAATATTTATCATAATTAATTTTATTCTTACTGCATGGAAAAATATAGATCTTTTTCATATTTAACAAATTTCTTTTCTTAGAGGAGAAGATTTGTTCCTCTATAAATTCAAGATGTCTCCTTCATACACAAAGACACAATAGCATTCATAGTATAGTCATTAAAAAAGCCTTGTTTATGGAAGATTTTTCCTTCAATAGTTTTTTCTTTATTATTAGTTTAACCATATGTAGATCGAGTGAACAAACCATACCAAAGTATTATGCCTCTTTTAGTTTATTTTTCTTTGTTATATGATTTATTGTCGCCAAAATTTGTTTTGCTAGCTTTCGCATGATGTGTTGTTAATTTCGATCCCAGCAAATGATATCAAAATCAATGCTTAAAAACCCAAAAAATCCTTCCAGAGTGCTATTGATAAATTTGCAATCATATTTTTTTTAACATTCTTGTTGCTACATCTTTAAAACAAAAATTATTTTCAACCCATGCTTACATTTAAGGCATGAGTACTCGTTTTTAATCCTCCCCACTTTTATTGTCGGGCTTACTTTTAACGCATGGACTCCTACTTTTAACCCTACTCACTTTTAACGCAGGGCTCCACTTTTAACCCAACTCACTTTAAACGCAGGGCTCCAATACTTTTAACTTGTGTTCACTTTAACGCATAAGGTTCCAATTCAACTCAATTCATATTTTTAATTATGGCAAGCAGCAGTGATGAAGATTATGTGAAGAAAGTGGATCAAATTTTGTCAAGAAAATTCAGGTCAAAAAGGGAGAATTGTTAGAAATTTGTTCTAATTTTCTTTTCATATTTGTATTTTTCAGTTACTAGAAGGAAGGGTAAAATATTTACCATAATAAATTTTGCTTTTCCTGTAAGGAAATTATAGATCTCTTTTGTATTTAGAAAATTTCTTTTCTTGGAGGAGAAGTTTTGTATCTCTATAAATTGAGAATCTCTCCTTCATACACAAAAATACAATAGCATCCATAATGTAGTCATTAAAAGAGTTTTATTTAAGGTGAGATTTTTCTAATTCTGGTAAAGATATGGGTAATTTATATATATCTTATTTCAGTAGGATTTCTCATCTCAATGAATGCATGTAGAGAACTATCACTTAATATGCAAGATGGTGGTTCTAGGTTATTGAATCAATATACCTTCTAACGAGGATGCGTAAGATCTTTGGTCAAGCTAGTATTCACTCTGGTTAAGGTGATTATAGTAAAACCTAAGATCTTTTTGTTTATGGAAGAGTCAGTCTCTTTTGCGGTTGTGTCAGCAACCAGTCTATTGGAGTCATAATTTTCTCTGGTATAAAAGGACGAGAGGTTTTTTGTAACGATCCGACCGATTGTTTTGAGCTTTAGAATTTTCTTTCGATGGCTCGAAACCTTGAGTAGCTCCATATGATGCATTATGACTTGGGAGTATGGTTAATTTTGATTTTCGGGAGGCTCAGGATTGATTTAAAAGAGTAATTCTCAATTTGGAAGCTTTAAGTTGAAAGAGTTGACTAAGATCTGACTTTTGAGAGAATAGCCTTGGAATTGAAATTTTGATGGTTTCAATAGGTTCGTATGGTAATTATGGACTTGGGCATGTGTTTGGATTTGGATTTGGATGTACCTAGAAGGTTTTGGCTCTATTTATCGAAAGTTGGTTAATTGAAGAATTAAATAGCTCTTAAGTTTAACCAGAGGTTGACTTTGGTATTATCAGACTCCGATTGTGGTTTCAAGACCTTGGATACGTTTATTTATTGGATTGTAACTTGTGTGCGAAGTTTGGTTGTAATTCGGAATGTCTAAGTGTGATTCGGATGCGTTCGACGAAGTTTGAATGTTTGAAAGTTAAGATAAGGATTTTGAGATTTGATTCTTGATTTTGATATTATTTGTGGTGTTTCGAGCCCTTGAATAAGTTTGAATTTTTATATGGACTTGTTAGTATAATTGGATGGGGGTGGGCGCTCAGGTATGATTCATGCTGGTTTCAAACCATTTTGGTTGAGTTAGGAGCAACAGATTTGTTGGTACTGCGGTGCTTTGTGATCACGGAGCACATCCTCGCGATCTCGGAGAGGGATTTGGCTAACTGGTGTAACGACCTAACCAATCGTTTTGAGTTCTAGCATTTAGTTATGTGATTTGAGACCTTGAGTAGTGATCACACCACTATGCCTTATAAAAAGGATTAAGCTGTCGTTGCAAATATAATCTTGTTTACAAGTTTGAAGTCGAATCCCACAGAGAACTAAGACTTAGCTACAGTTGTTCAATATCGCTAAGAAACACAAGTCCAAATAATTTTCTAATTATAAATATTATAATATTTATTTTTATCTAATTAACTAACAAATACTAGAGAGCAGTAAAACTATCAATTAACAAGGATAAGGATTGGAGACAAGATTAAGGAGGTCTAGAGTTATGATTTTCCCAATTATCAAAATCCTTTCCGCTATGTTTTCTATAAATTTGCCTAAGTCTTTTTTACCGATCATGAGCACTCTGACTGTCGTAACTCTCCCCCGAGTAATAACCATAATTTACTAGACATATTTTCCCGAATTACGCTAGCTGGCATTAAGTACGGCTCACTCGGATCGCACCAAGGTTTCGTTATCTCTAATCCCACCTTTAAACCCTCCGTATTAATCTCTCATATACGTTAGGAGTGATGTTGTTCAATAACTACCTAAATATGCGTGCTCTCTCCCTAGTAATACACACTAAATAGGCACAGTCGATTGAGAGCTCTTCAACCAACCACAATATAAACATAGTTGAACAAATAGAGAAAAGCTACGACAAATCTATATTAACGTAATAGGAAAATCATCTTTCAAGAGGTTCCATCAAAACCATAGATAATAAATTAGCTATTCATAATAGTATGCAAAACTACAATACTAGAATTCATAACTAATAATGGAAATAGGAAAAAGGAAGTGAAAAACTCGTAGAAGAATTCTCTGCCTTGCTCCTAGTGTGTTCTTGCCTCCTTCGGTCGAATCCCCGGTCTCCTTAGCCTCTTTAAGTCTAAATTATGTCAAAAGTTAGTCTCAAAATACTGTTTTTCCATGTATATATACCAAGTAGGGTCGGGCCCAAATAATTATACCTTCTCCTACGCGAAAAAGGACACTTTTTCCGGACAGGACGTGCGTGGTTGCGCACCTGGAAGTGTGCCCGCACACTTGGCCACGCACTTTTCACACTTTCTGCCCCATATGGGCGGTCAGTACGCGGCCGCACACTTGCCGCGCACTTTTCACCATGTTCTGTTAGGAATTTGAAAATACATAAAACATGAAAGTTGTAGCCCTTTGAATTAGCTTTCCAAAAATATATTGTAGAACCTAAACGGAATTCTAAAAAAAATGTTATGTGTATTTTACTAGACAGTGTGTCGTATGCCTACTCGATCCTTCGTTCGTTCTTAACTATCATCTGTTCATCCCCGAACACGATCCCGGCTTAATTTCTTGGGATTTTACACAGACTTTAAAGCTCCAAATTACTTGAATTCATTCCATAATATCTACATATCACTCCTACAAGGCATAAAATACACAATTAGTGCAAAATACTAGCGATTAAAGCTCAAACTCAATTAAAGTGCAGTAAATTAGAGTGTGATAAGCAACTAAAATACGTAATTATAGTATATCATCAACACCCCACACTTAAACCATTGCTTGTCCTCGAGCAATCAAACTACACTTTATATAGACACGACCTTTTTAAACAATTCTCCTAACTCATCACACCAAGAATATTTAAAATAGACTAAGCACAAAAGCGTAACATCTTCACCTCAAGATTTGACTCACAAGCGCCACACATTATTCCCAACTCACCCACTTACTCTAATATAGAGGTCACTGACATTACCTTTTTCCTTCATGAATCAAGTGCCCTCACACAACAAAAGAGAGTAGCTCCACACACAATATAATTTAAGAACAATTAGGAACTCAAGATAGAAAGAACTCACTCGCTCTCAGAAATAACATTTATATGCCACAAAAATGCACCATAGGCTTGCCTGTACTGTACTACCCTACTAATCGAGCTCATTCAGTCTAAGATCAAGTAGGACTTTATTTGATTGTAATGTAGGTTACGGGAAGGGTAGGATACATTTAGATATAAGAGTGATTACACCTCCCTAAGCACTNCTCAAAAGCCAAACCAACCACCCCACTCTTTAACTTTTACAAAGTTCATAACAATTTAAGTGCTCATGAGAGGTTAAATGGTTCAAATAGATGGTTAATTCAAACAAATGGGTAAGGCTTGTAATGTGGTTGCCAAAGAAACAGAATTATAGGCTCAAAGGGGTTAACTATGATACATAACAATTAGGTGGGTAATATATATATATGGCTCAACAAAGAAACGCTTATATCACTTCCAAGTCTAAACAAAATTACTATTTTGCTTTGCAAACACACTAGGCAAGTTCTAGACATCAAATGCAATGCACAGAATGCAACAAACCTCACACGCACATGGCACATGATTCACTCAATATTGGATCATCAAGACACTTTAGTCAAAGTAGTTGAGAAAAGTTAAGAATATACAATTTAAGGCACTTATATAAGAGTTAAAAATTGAGCCTAAGCGTCACACTAAAGAACTCCATATTCTTAACTATGCCTTATAAAAAGGACTAAGCAGTCATTGCAAATATAATCCGGTTTACAAGTTTGGAGTCGAATCTCACAGATAACTAAGGCTTAGCTATAGTTGTTCAATATCGCT